CTCCTCCAGGCAGGCCTGGCTTTAAGGGCCCCATCAATTCTAAAGAATAATCTGACAGTCACTGTGCAAATGTAACACTGAATGTGGGAAAATCCCAGTACAGAGTAATCTTCAAATGAGAGAGGAGCTTTGGGACTCTGTGCCAGATTCTGGTGGCATTGTTTGATACCAATGGTAAAGGATTGTGGATCTTGTTAGGAATGCTTCCTGCTTTGAAAGTATTCCATGGAATGCCAGCCTGGTTTGGGTGGGAAGGGTCCTTAAAGGCCATGCAGTGCCCTGGGAAGGGACACTCCCCACAGCCCTGCTCCTGGACATTGCTGCTGGATGCACTCACCCCTGCTTGAGGAGAGCGTAGTTCTCCACCTCAGAAGGATTGGGAAGGTATTCCAGGACAGCATCCAGCAGTGGCTGCACCCCTTTGTTCTTCAGAGCACTTCCCACGAGGACAGGGGTGAAGGATTTCTGCAGCGTTGCCCTTCGGATTGCCAGCTGGAAAACATCCCTGTGAATTCCTCCTGCAGCACAGCCCAATTCCCTGGCTTTCCTGGGCTTCTCCACTCCTGGAGCAAAGAGCTGCTCCCACAGGCCCCCGGACACCCCCCAAGAGAAGGGCTTCCCATAAAACCTGCTCTCCAGAATTCTTTCCAACACAAAGCAAAACCAGATTGGGAATGGGCCCTCTCTGGGGGGAGCTGGAGTTCAGCTGAGGTGCCACAACTCCAGCGAACAGAATTCCTGATACATTTATTGAGGAATGAAGGGACAGGGACACAGGTGAGGGAACAGCCAGCACAAGGAAGGTACCTTTAACTGTGCAGCTGTGGGAATCTTCTCCTCCAGGAACAGCTCCCCCAGGAGCTCGTCAGCGTTGGCCACGCACTCGATGAGCTCCCGGCGCCGCTCGGCAGCCTCGGCCCGGAACTCAGCCGGGATCTCCTCGAACCTCAGCGTCTGCCTGCACACACAGGGAACACAGTGATTCCCAGAAACTCCACAGGGACCACCCTGCCTGAGAACAACCCACCCTTCACGTGGATCCTGGGAAGAAACCCCCTGTGAACATCAGTGCGTTATCTCTGGTGTGGCAGAGTCCTTCCCGCTCCTGGCAGGAGCTTGCAGGGATCAGGAAAACCTCCCAACAGCCTCACCCACAGCTTATCCTCATCCCAGGGAGCCACACAGGCTGCAGGATCCCATCATGGAGCAGTCTCCTGCTTCTCCAGGTGGGAAGTGTGGCCACCACCCCTGCACAGCAACCAAGTCTTCCTGCAGGCCCCAGGCACTGGGAGAGCTGCAGGGGAACCCTCAGCCCCAGCCCATTCCCAAACTTCCAGAGAGCTGGGTTTCATCTCTGAAGAGAAACTGCATGAATTCCTCCTGCAGACAGCAGATCCAGCTAGGAAAGAAGCAATTTCTAGGCCTTACCCAAGTGCCCCATCAAAATAGATGGCTTTTTCTTCAATGAGATCTATAATTCCTTTAAAGTTTCCCTCCAGCCCAATTGGAATCTGAACAAAAGCTGCATTGTGTTTCAACTTGGATCTGAAAAAGGGAGAACAGGAATTACTGAAGAAAAAGGTTAATTTCTACCTGTGTGCTCTAGATGGTCTTTGAGCAACATCCCCTTCCCACAAAATCCCTGTGTTCTGTCCTCTGGACAGTGCCCAAATCTGCCAATATGGATAAAAACCAGCCAGTTGTGGTTTAGGGCTTTGTATCCCACCCTTTGTATCCCAACAGGCCCAGGGAGCAACTCCCACAGGAAAGGCAGCAGGGGAAACCCGTTTGAGATTGATTGCTTGATTAAGGCTTCTCCCTTAATGAATGAGTTTATCTCATGAATCAAATTAGGCAGGGAGCAAGCAGGACCTCCAGGAATCCAAATTGTGTCACCTCCCTGATGGAATTTCAGCAGCACCAGGATCTAGGGAAAACTAAGAGGTTGCTTTCAAAGTGGGTCCTGATATAGTGCCATCAACAAAATAAACATCAAACCCCAGCCCTTGGTCACTGCAGGTCCTGGCTGACACCAAATATTTGGAGGGTTTTGGGACAACAGAGATTTGTCCTGGGTCAAATCAGGATTTAACCTTGAGTCAGGAATTCTCCAAACTGCAGCTCCCATGAGAAGCCTTTCCAATATTGTTCCTAATGAGCTGTCATGTAGATGGAATTTCAGGAGTCATTGTAAATGCCAAAAACCTGAGCTGCTGCACTGCTCTGGTCGGGTTGGAGCCCATCCTGTCCAGTTTGTTGATGAAGGTGAGGAAGGGGACGTTGTAACGCTTCATCTGCCTGTTGACAGTGATGGTCTGGCACTGGACACCTCCCACAGCACAGAGAACCAGGATGGCTCCATCCAGCACCCTCAGAGACCTCTCCACTTCAATGGTGAAGTCCACATGGCTTTTTATTTGTTAAAATAAAAATGATGAATACACTGGAAAGGGGCAACAGCCAAGGGAATCACACTGAGTCACATCAGCTCAAGCAATGGAGCACGGAGTCATGGAATGGTTTGGGTGGGAAGGAACCTTAAACCCCAATCCACCCCCTGCCGTAGCAGGGACACCTCCCACTAGTGTCCAGCAGTCCCAGGCTGCTCCAAGCCCCATCCAGCCTGGCCTTGGGCACTGCCAGGGATCCAGGGGCAGCCCCAGCTGCTCTGGGCACCCTGTGCCAGGCACTGCCCACCTTCTCAGGGAACAATTCCCGCCCAAGATCCCATCTAACCCTCTGTCAGTCTGAACCATCACTCCATGTTCTATCACAACCAGGGACACAAAGATGCACCACATCTCCTGTATCCATGAGGAACAGCAATGGCCAGGTGTTCCCAGCTGCCCTTACCTGGCGTGTCGATGATGTTGATGTTGGTGTCCTTCCACATGGTGTAAGTGGCTGCAGACTGGATGGTGATGCCTCGCTGTCGCTCCAGCTCCATGGAATCCATGACAGCTCCAACTCCATCCTTACCTTTCACCTTAAGAAAAAAAAAAATTTGTTCAAGGAGTTTGCTAAGAATTCATATCCCATCCCTGGAAGTGTCCAAAACCAGGGGTTTGGAGCAACTTAATCATGGGCATGGGATGAGTGAGCTTTAAGTTCTCTTCCCACCCAAACCATTCCATGATTCTGTGATTCCACGTGCAGGAGTGATGCTGCACGGACTGAGCATTATCCCTCATGCAGAAAAACACAGTGTGGAGGTAAGTCCCAGGAAGATCCTGGCAGGAGCTCGGCCCAACCTCGTGCATCTGCGCGATCCTGCCCGTGTAGAACAGGATCCGCTCCGTCAGCGTTGTCTTGCCGGAGTCGATGTGGGCTGAGATCCCGATGTTCCTGATCCTCTCGTTGGGAAGGATCCCCGAGGAGCAGTGCCTGCAGGAGGTCAGCAGGAGCTGCAAGGCAGGAGAAGGTCACTGGGTCAGCCAGGAGTGGATCCAACACAGCTCACAGGACACGACGAATGGGACAAGGGGAAACGGCCTCAAACTGTGCCAGGGGAGGCTCAGGTTGGACACCAGGAGGAATTTCTCCATGGAAAGGGTGGTGAGGCCTTGGAAGGGGCTGCCCAGGGAGATCTGGAGTGCCCATCCCTGGAGATGCCCAAGGAATTCCTGGACATGGCACTCAGTGCTCTGGGGACAAGGTGGGGATCGAGCACAGCTTGGACTCGATGGTTTTGGAGGGCTTTTCTAACGTAAATTATCCTGGGATTCGCTGTGCCCATGGCTAACCTGCCAAACCGCTTCCCTCCGGCTTCCTGTCCATCTGTGGCGAAGCGGTCACCTCATGCCGAGCGAACTTTCCGGGGTCACCTCGGAGCTCTCAGCACACCCCGCACGGCCCCCACGCCCGCCCCGCTGCTCATTCCCGGTGTCTCTGTCCCCATGGCTGTGACCGGCGGCTGCTCGTTCCCTGCAGCTGCTGCGGCCCGTTCGGGGCTGTCCCTCCATCCCTTCCGCTCCCGGCTCCCTCCCCTCCCTGCGCCGTCCCCTCGGGCGGCCGCGGGGCGGTCCCGCCGCCGGTACCTGCATGTGCCGCGGGCGGCCAGGGGCCAGCCCGGCCCGCAACACCCTGAGCATGGCCCCGGCTGCGGCTCCGGCCACGGCTCCAGCCCCGGGTCGCTCCCGCCTCTTCCGGAGCCCCGCGCAGGCGCCGCGGCCCCGCCCGGCCCCTCACAGCCCTCACAGCCTTTGCCGGTTCCTCACAGCCTCCCCCGGCCCCTCACGGCCGCTCACAGCCTCCCCCGGCCCCTCACGGCCGCTCACAGCCTCCCCCGGCCCATCACAGCCCCTCCCGGCCCCTCCCAGCCTGCCCCGGCCCCTCAGGGAGCGGCGGCGCCGGGCGAGAGCCCCGAGGGCGGAATCAGGGAGGGAGGGGAGGCTCCCACCGAGCCCATCCCGGAGCGATCCCGACCCAGCCGTGGGCATTCCCGGTGTGCACCCTCGGAATTCTCCGAGTGCGGCCTGAAAGGGGCGGATTTCAGCCAAAGCATGGAGCGGGACGGAGCCCGGGATGGGCGGCGGGGCCACATCCGCAGGAGTTTGGGACTGTGAGGAATTGGAAACAACTGGAAAGCGGCGCTCCCTGGCCCAGGGGGTGCTCAGGTGCAGGGAAAGGGGAAAGGCTGGGATGGGTAGCGCACACGGACCCGGTTTGGAACACGCTGTTAAGTGCTGAAATATATTCTTGATATAAAATTATTCCCCGGGAACTGCCTTTCGTGCGTGCAAAGGCTCCACAAGCGGGTCTGAAACAAAGAGACCTTTTCCATACTCTGTTTGGTTCAATCAAACTTTATTTTTTGTGGAAAAAGAATGCTCCCCTCTGGAAATGGAGGGATTTCCAGAGAATCCCAAAGTGTTTCTACTAAATCTCATCCCATTCCACCCCTTCGTGGGCAGGGACACTTCCCAAAACCCAGCTTTCCTTCACTGAATAATGCATAAGTCCTTCTTGTAGTGCAGTGTAGAATAAACCAACAAACCCCATAAATAATAAATAACTTTATTAAAGAATTGCAGTTTCAGATGCTTTTACAGAGCACAACTTGTGCTTTACATTGGAGAACAGTCTTGGTGTAGCAAAGGGATCTGGAGGGAATATTCACCTCTTCTCACTGTCATTTCAAAATCCAGAGTGTGCCTGTTTTATTTCACACAAAAATTTGAGTTTTCAGGTGAATTTTCCATTGAACAGCAGCAGCTCTCCGAGATTGCTGCTCAAACCCTAACACAGAAAACATTGCTGCTGTAAATTACTGAGAAGATTGTCTAAGAAATTAATTGCAGAATCCATGTTGTCTGCAGTGGATGCAAAATGAGCTCTGACTTTAAGGGGTGTCCAACCCCCCCGACCCCCACTGCTCATTAAATGGTTCAATTATTGCCATTAATATTGATCACATCAACTTATTGCCACTGATACTTCTCTAATTCAGGAAGAGACCACAAGCAAATAATTGTCCTTCCCTTTTCAGAGCTCAGCAGAAGTGCTGCTGATTGAGTTTGCACATTAATAAACATTAATTAAATTTAAAATTAAAATTAAATAATCTAGGGAAACTGCAAGATTAAATATGATTTAGAGGCTTTTTGGCCAAACAAATATTACTCTTAAACTAAACCCTATTTTATCATACAAACAGTACTTTTAAAGGCTACATTATAATGCAGCCTTGAATTTATGTAAGGCTTTAATGTTATTAATTTATATTATTTAATTTACAGAAATTCTGCTACACCACAGGGATAATTCTGTGTGGTAGAACAGTACAGGGACTGGATACCTGGAATCCCAGGATTTCCCTGCTCTCAGACACTGCTGGCTCTTCTAAACTCCTATCAAATGTAGATTTAGGGTAATTCTGCCCTCAGTAAAACACAAAGAACACAGAAAGGAGAGGGGTTCCTATATCCAGGGCTCTTTAAAACACAAGAAATGGTGAAATCATTCCAGTTAAACTCATTTCTCCCACATATTTTTCCCATGAATAACTCCTGGTTGCAGCTGATCTCAGGACACCATTACTACTACAGGATAATTAAAGTCATTCAATACTACGGACAATCCTCAAAATGAAAAATGATGGGCCAAGTCCACAAAAAACAAACAAAGGATCAGGAATACAAAGCTGACAGTTCAGGCATCAGGAAATGATGTGCAAGCACAGCTTATTAACATAAAACCTCTGATAAATTTAAAATATTGTCATTTTTCAGTATTTTCTCTTACCTTACGTTACACCAAGGTGAGTGTGGGGGTTCTGTAACCATTTATGACAGGATTTTAAAGGTATAGATAATAGTGCTTTATAGTGTATTCAAGTTCTGTTAACCTAGAAAATCAGTAATCATTTCAGCAACCCAAAATAAAGGAAATTTACTTTCTGTGCAACTTAAGAGTGGGAAGGAGGAGCTGCAGTACCAGGTTTAGTAAAACCTGAGATTGGTGCAGCTGGAGCAGAACAACTGCAAATCCAAGCTGGTTTTACCAGGATTAGAGAAGTTCCATAAAGTGCTTTTAGGCAGAAAGTTGCTGGGTTTGAATTCACTGAGGAGCTGAGGTTTGAAGGACATTCAGAAGCAGGAGGAGCAAAGGCACAACACAGAACAGAGATTGGTCACAAATCCAGGTGTATTTTTATGGACAGGAGCACTGAGCACCATCATCTGCTGCAGGGAATCTCCATCCCAAGGGAATGGGGACAGTTATTTCCTGGAGCCCTTCAGGGGGACTTGAGTTCCTTTCACATTGAGAGCCTCCAAGGAATCCCTGGGCATTCTGGATCCTGGAGCTCCAAGTAGCTTCTCTCTGGAAAAAGAACAACAACGATCTCAATCTCTATGAAAAAAAGGAGGAATAAAACCTGCAGTGTCCCTTGGAACATTGCTCCAGAACTGGATTTCCCTTTTGCTGCTGGAATTTCCTTATCCTGCAGGATAACAGGGAACTATTTTTACCTTCTTGATCCACCTTGTCTGGGACTGTAATGGCCATTTCTGCATCTCGGAGCTTCCACAGCTCCTCTGCTTCTGCAAGGTCTGAACTTCATGATCTCGTTCTGCCACTCCTCATCAAAGGTGTCAGCCTCAGCTGAAAAATAGATACATTTATTTGAAATGTTCATAAAGAGAGGAAAAAACCATTTAATGAATATTAGGGGGTTTGGGTAGTCATTTTAAACTTTGGAGTCCACAATTCTCCACATGGCCTACAAATGTTTTTGGGGATCTGTAAAAGAGAATTCAGATTTGGAGACTTTCAGTTGAAAAATGCCTTTTAAGATAGCTCAAGCTGGAACTTCCAAATCAGAGTGTGAAACAGTGTAAAGCATGAACTGCCTAAAAAGACCTACATTCATCCAGGTTGATAAATTCTTGGTTCATCTCCTCATCCCCAGTCTTGGAGTTCTTGGATTTTTTGATGACATGAGCCCGATCGTGAATGTGGTGACCAATGGCTATTTTCTCCAGGCCAGTTTCAGAATCCTTCATTGCTTTTCTTGTCTCTTTAACCTGTTAAAAAAAAAAGTGAACTGAGCGTCCTTCCAACTAAAAATGAGGTAGAAGAGTTCACAGAATCCCAGGATGGTTTGGGTTGGAAGGACTTAAAGCCCACCCAGTGTCCCCCTGCCATGGCAGGGACACCTCCCACTGTCCCAGGCTGCTCCCAGCCCTGTCCAACCTGGCCTTGGGCACTGCCAGGAGCAGCCACAGCTGCTCTGGGAAGAATTTCCTTCCAATATCCCATCAACCCTGCCCTCTGCAGTGGGAAGCCATTCCCCCCTGTCCTGGCACTCCAGGCCCACACAAATGGTTATTTCCTCTCCCAATAGTTTTATATCTTTCCTTTCAAAAAGTCAGGTTTTCCAGGCTTTTCCAATTCTCTCATTTCCTGTGTTGGCTGCAAACACACCAACGACACACAAATCAAGCCTATTTTCTTTTAGCCACCAGAGAGGGAAATGAAACACCACCTGAACTTTTTGAACTGGCTATGAATTATTGGGGAAAACCCCCTCAGTTTCAAAATGCTACAGAGACAAGTTTCCAACAGAAGGAGCAACACCCGATGCCAAAATTCCCAGAGTGAGGAACAGCCAATTCCTGGGCTGTGGTGTTGACTGGCTTGGAAGCCAGGCTGCCCCTTATCAGTGTCCTGGGCTATTATTAGAAGCCTTGTGATAACAGGGTGTGCTGGAGCTGGGACACATTCCCAGCCAATCCTGCCCACAGCCTTTAGGGATCCTGTCTAGGCTTTCATGGCCCGTGCCAGGTTCACATTCCCAGTTCCCGGCAGGATTAGACACAACAGCTGCAAGGGAGCTCCAGCTCAGGGTTATGTAAGTGCCTGGGCAAAGGGGTGATTTGAAGGCAGGGGTTGCATAAATCAATGCCTCTCCTGGAGTTTAAGTGGACAGGAAAAGGATTCATTACAGCAAAGAGAAGGGCATTGGAAAATTGCTGCTCTGTGCCCTGTTCTCCCAGCCTTGGATGGGTCTGTAATTTATTTTGGGGTGTGCTTAAAGCATAAAATTACAGGGAGGAAATCAGACCTTTAATACAGAGCAGGGTTTGAGAGCCCTGTGTTTCCCTTGATTCCCAACTCCTCTTTGTGCAGTCAGGGGGTATTGGGCTCTGCTCCCAGGGAACAGGGACAGCAGGAGAGGGAACGACCTCAGGCTGGGCCAGGGGAGGCTCAGGGTGCAATCAGCAGGAATTTCCCCATGGAAAGGGTGAATAAACATTGGAAGGGGCTGGCAGGGAGGTCTGGAGTGCCCATCCCTGGAGGTGTCCATGGAATGCCTGGATGTGGCACTCAGTGACAAGGTGGGCATCGAGCACAGACTGGACTCGATCCAACCTCAGTGATCCCAGGATTCTGTAAATTCCAGGAGTAACTGCAGTAAAATCAGCTGCAGACAGTGGCTTGGTGCAGCTGCACCCAAACCCAGGGCAGCGCCCAGCTCCTGTGTGCTGGATCCCAGCACCACTCACCCCTCCCGGAGCCGTGCGGGTCTGGGCCGAGGCTTGGAAAACTTTGGGAGGTCCATCCCCCACTTTGGAATATGTCATCATGGAGGAGGAGCTGAAACTGTGTCCGTTGGGTTGGATGGACAGGTCATCCTACAAAGCAAGGCAGGCTCTTTAATGGAAGTTAAAACTTGTGGGTAAAGAGTTATTCCTTATTGTTTTATTATGAAAAATATCCCTTCACAAAATTAACCCTCCTGGAACCACATAAAACTTCAGTTTTATCTTCAAAGAAAAAAGAAAAATTATAAACACAATATAATCTGGGAAAAACAATTAAATTCCTAGTACCTTCTTGAGATTAGTCCCTTTTTTCTTGGCATTATTTCCTGAGGCATCTTTGAAATAACTGGCACTCTCCAGTACAATAAATTTGAGAATGATTTTAAAAAGAACTCACAAATTGCCTGTGCATTTCCAACATGTTGTTCCTCATGTTTGACATCATCCTGTCCATTGCAGAAAATGGATCCCCAAAATCTGCATCCTGCTAACAAAAAGGGGAAAAAAAACCCTACAGTTAAAACAGTCTCAACTCTCCTAGTACTGGTTTTCACATGCATTTTTAACTCAAAAAGCTTTTCAGACTGCACTTCACACACAGACAAGCCAAAATGCATCTTTTCAAAAGGAAATTGAGGAGCTGGATTAAGACAGAGATACTGGGAAGATGAAAGTGGAAGATTTGTCACTCAGACATCAAACTGGCCACAAAATGAGTTTAACAAAAATGTTCACTGGATATTCAAATACCCAATTATTTCACAAATACGTTCATAAATCTTCTGACCTCACCAGCTTCTGCTCTCAAAGTCCTGCATGATCCTTCAGGGTTTACATTTAAATCAATTCATTTCCAGAGTTGGGTATTTCAGCATTGCCAACTTATAGCTGCATGTAAGCCCCAAATGAAGTAAAATTAAAGGTCAGAAAACCTTCAACTTATTTTTTTGAGTACAAGGAATTGGAATCCTCTGGGCAAGATGATGGATATTTTACAGGATATTCCAAACCACAGCTGGAAACCACTCACAGCCCATCTCCAGGGGCTGCTCTGCCTTACTGGGAGCAGTGGTTTTGTGTCACCCCCACAAAAACATTCTCCAGCAGCACCCAAAGTCTGCAGTTTCCCCAGGGGTTATCCCATCTATACCCAGAGGTTAATGCCCCTTAAAGGAAGGGTTTTTTTCCTGGATTTTCTTATTCCCAAACCACAAACAGCACCAAAAGCACGATGCGAGCACAGAGCTCAGCCTCTGCCATGCTTTGGTTACACACAGCTTACACAGGAGCTACTACAGGGATACTAACCCCTCTTCCAAAACCTACAAAGGGCATGAGGGAGAAGCTGGTGGCCTGGAAAAAAAGGAGCAAATCTGCAATTATTATCAGGAACAGCAGAAATTACTTTTATATGCAGCAGATTACACAAAACATTTCCCATCGAATCAGAATCACTCAGGAGGGCCATGGTAATTATTTAATTAATCCCTGGGTATGTGGAAATAATATCTTTATATTGCTGATATTAGAAAGTGCTAATAAACATTGATAACTGTGTGTGAAAAGCATTCAGAACTTGGCAAACATTTGAGCCTCACAAGAACCTTTGTGCTGATTTCACACTTCAGGCCCCACCCTGCAATGCTCCACTGCTGAAAGCTGATTAAAATCAACAAATCAGCAAATGATGCCAGGGATATTGAGCACTCCTGCATGGCAGGGCACTGAGATCCTGGGAAACACAGGGGTGTTTCCAGGAAAGCCAGACTGGAGAGTCAGATAAGGCCTACAGACACACAGGGAGGCAGAAGGACCAAACCCTTTGCAGGAACTTTAATGGAAAGAGAAGGAATTCTCCAATTCTGGAATAGCTTTAGGAATTCCTCAGGTTTCTGTCAGGACAGATTAGGCAGAGCTGTAAATAGTAATATATTTTTTTTTTTCTCAAGTCCTCACCAGTAAGAGTTATTAGGCATCCAAAACTTATAAACTCTGCTTTATAACACTAAAAAGCCACTAAAAGCTGTTAAACATTTGCCTGATATACAGGATAATCAGATATCCCAAAACCCCCAATTAACAGTATCTCTTAATATGTTTTAGCAAATTCCTCCTTCCCTAAAAACTGAACTGGAGAAAGGAAAAGCAGTTTTAAGTCTACAGTGGCACACACTGAGTTGTCCCAATGAATTTGGTTTCTTTTAAAGCACTTTTAGGCCTGCTGCAATTTAATTAAACACACAATTACAACACTACTAATCAGGGGAAGTTCTTTGAATGAAGTATATTTAACATGGCAGCAAAATTCCGCTTTTTCCTGCACAAAAATGTAATTTTAAGGGTTTAAATTCTTGATGGAGCAGCAGTTTGAGATGACAAGGCAAAGCAATCAGTGCTGAGTCTGGTGTGACATTTGACAGCCCTTCAGTGGAACAGGAGGAACATCAAAAGATCCAGGGAAGGGTTTAGCAGCCGTGGAATTCTTTTGTGCTTGTCAGGCTAACACAGAGCACTCGTACATTTAACTTCTGCTGCAGCCACAGATAAAGGGTTTGGGCCTCACATTTGTCCCTCATTGCAGGAACAGGGACACAACCTCTGAGCTTTAAAGCTGAGCTTTGACAGGTTCTTTTTCTACAGGAAAAAACTCTGATCTGGCTTTAGGCACCACTGATCCAAGGCCTAAGGATCAGCAGAGGGAAGCTCATGCCCTAATTAGATGCAGTTTCTATATTTGCCAGGAACTGGATGAGCAGGGGAAGGAATGTGCCAGTTCCCCTCTGGAGCTGCAGGTGACAGGCTCTGTTCCAGCCCTGGCCTGGCCACCAGCCCCTGTCACCAGCCCCTGTCACCAGCCGGACTTTAAAGCCTTTTCTTCCAACGGTCTTTGAAAATCCCATGGGATTCACTAAAGCTACAGGGAGGCAGCTGCTGAGTATCTGGAGGGAAAGGAACCAGCTCCCAACGTTTATCCTCTATAAATACAGCTCTAGATAAGGGTTAGATATGATTGTCCTGCACGCCCAGAGCTGAAAAAACACTTTCATTAAACACAGATCATCAGTTTCACTGGTAACACACAGGAAAACTGAATTTCACACCGATTTCCCTGAGCTTTAATTCTTACAGGTTTGTATCTAAGGGAATATTAACAATCAGCCCAAATTTAGAGCATGAAGTGTTTATTCCTGGCTGAAACAGGGTTAAATCCATGGATGATATTCCTGAGGTGGTGAAAGGCAGGCTTGTGGAAATCAAACTGAAATAGCTGCACACAAGGGACTAAAGTGCACAGGGAAGGCACAAATACATTGTGGAATTTTGGAATGGGTTGGGTTGGAAGGGACCTGGAAAGAGCCTGGCCTTGAACCCTTCCAGGGATAGGGCAGCCACATCCAGGCACCTTTTAAAGTTAAAAAGGAAACAGATGTGCAGAGAATGTGGGACATTTTTAGTGCCTCTCCTGAACAGAAACATTTCATGTGTTACATTTATGAAAGCCAGCGCTGGATAAACGATCAGATGTTGATTAATGGCTGTTCAGTGATCAGTAAAACCCAGACTCTGATCAGCCCTGAAGGAACCAACAGTGGAGTCATTTCCGATTCCCTGAGTGATGAAACAGCTGGAAGGAGCTTCCAAGAGTGGATCCAGGCCTGTTTCCCAGGAAATGCAGCCCCTGGAGCTCAGGAACACTTACCCTGCGAGTGCCCCTGACGGCCACCTGGGAATCCTGCTGGGCTCTGCGCTCCGCTCTCCTCTGCTCCGCTCTCCTCTCTGCTGGTCTCTTCTCTCCATCCGGGAGGCTCAGGAATGGATCCCGCCCAAACGGCTCCGAGAAGCTCCTCATCATCTGCCTCATGTGCTCATGGTGGGCAGCAAAGGGATCCCTGCATTCCAGAGAGCCACTGGGTTATTCCAGCTCCGGGGTATTTCAAATTCCGGTGTTTAATATTCCATAGGGTTCTTTATCCGGAATTATTACTTTAATAGGATCCAACTGGGCTATCTCCCGTTCCCCATAAACTCTGATTTTCTGTTCCCTTCCCACCTCTCTCAGGTTGAGTGTTTGAGATCTATTTTGTCTCAGCTTCCCTCACTGCTCTGCTGGGTGTCCCTATTCCTCTTCATCTTCTCCAGAAATATCCATCCTTGGCTGCCCCTTTCACTCCAGCCTGTGTTCAATACCTGCCAGAACCATGAACTGTCCCATATTTTATTTATCACTATTTCAACCTCCAACACCTGGCATTAAAATAATTTCTTTTTAATTTTCCCCCTTCATCTCCCAAAGCTCAGCACGGTCCTATTCACTGAATTCGTGTCCCACTGGATCCCCCCTCAGCCCTCAAATTTATTCTGTTGGCAGTTCCCATCCTACTTTTCCTTCTCCCCGTCCCACATCTTAAAAATACCCATTATCCAAAATTCAGGCCAGTTCCATCTCCTGTAGTCACCCACTGCTCCACCTTTGCCTTCCCTCTCCACAAATCCTGTTCCCAAATCCCTTTCTTGTGCTTAGGAAGGAGATTCTCACTGGCTTTTTGTTTTCCTTTCATTTTCCCCCCCTTCTCTCCTCTGCCAAAAACCCACAGATCTCCACTGGTATTCTCAAAGCTTGGCTTGCAAGGAAAACATTGCTCAACTGCCCTAACTCTCTAAGCTGGACAAGACCTGAAATTCCTAATTAAGGCTAAAAGAGGGGCAAAGCAGGAATTTTTCCCAAGTACAGGGTATGAGCAGTGCTGCTGCCTGAGGGCCAGGCTGCAGATGAACACTTCCCATACAAATTACCCTGGCTCATTTCCTCCTTCCATCTCATTTTCCTCTTTGCCATCCCACTGAAAAACACTTTATTACTGTGAACACTCACTTCCCGGCTATGTTTATTTAGGTTTAATACACTTTATTGTCCTTCTTCTCAATTCCTGGCATTCCCCACACGTTCCAGGACACCAGAGCCTTTCCCAGGACATCTCAGGAGGAGAAGATTCAGGTTGTTCCTGCCTTTTCCCTGCCCAGTTATCTCCTGCCCAGCTTTTCTGCTCCCCACCCCCTATCTCCAGCCCACAAAAAGCACTTCCCACATCACGTGGCTGCTTTGATCTCATGCCAAATCACACTTAACGTTTATTTTTTTTTTCCCTTCCAAGTGAAAAAAGACAAACACGAGGTTGGATTAATTTTGGAATAACTTTTTTTTTTAACACAAAAATATCCTTCTAAGCTATGCCCAGACTTAAACTCAGCCCGAAAGAGATTTTTGAAGTATTTTAGTGATGCCATGGAGCAGCCCCTGCCCTGCTCCCAGCTTTGGCTCCAGCCCTGGGGTCTGGATCCTCACTGCAGGATGAGGAACAGGTGGAAAAAGTCCTGGCATGAGCCAAGGACAGGGAATCACACCGGCACCACCTCGGGATGTTCACAATTCCAGCAGATCCCAAACCCCAGAGAGGTTTGGTTACCAGACACAAAAAGCTCCTTAGTACCAGGGACAGGGAAATCAGATACACATTGGGGAATGACAGCCTCAGGAATAGAAAGAAAGGTTCCAAATTCCCGATTTTAGGGAGTAATTAATAAAAAGAATGAATGCTGCCAAGCGTCAATAGAAACATCCCAATATTGGTATGATCTGGGGTAAGGTAAAAACCAATGGAAAGGGAACAGAAAATCCATTTGGAAAACAAAGTTTCCATGGAATTAAACCTTGATGGTTCCAGAAACTCAAACCACAATTCAAGAGGAGCTCACCCTGACAAACAGAGCTGTAGTGAACAAGGCAAAGCCTCTGCAGGGGACCTGCGGGGTTTTAAGATCCTTGCTCCAAGCACAGATTTTATGGGATGGCAGCAGGTGTAGGACACTCTAATTTAACAATTATTGACTTAAAATAGGACCTTTTATTTTTTTTAAGGGGGATAGATACTTTTGATGAGAAGGACATGATTTCTGTTATAGCATAAAAGTGATGAAGAGAAAGTGACTGGTTCATAGGGTTTTGCACACCAAATCTGTGCCCTTCCCATGTTAAATACTAAATTATTTTTTAAATTAAATTCTGCATGGAAACAAACAATTTATACATTTATTGTTCCAGCACTCTGCAGTAACATAATTTTGTCAGATATCTATTAACCTGACCCTCACCTGACATTAAACATGCAAGTGTAACTTTACTGCTTTCTTCAGGGCATGAAAAATCAGTCCTAGAACAATAAGTTCCACTTACTACTTTTGTAAACTGTACTTTGTCTTAAGATGTGTTTCTTTTCTATTAGATATTAGGTGGAAATATCAGATTTATTTTTTTCCCCACTCAGGAAGTTATGTAAGGCTGCAGATTCCCTCTGGAGAGAACACCTGGCACAATAAACTGAAGAGAATTAAATCCAGAGTGTGCAGTTGGCAGGGAAAACAACTCCTGCACCTGGGCAGGGTTTCAGGGATGGATCCCAGCACCTTTGGGTGACTGACTGCTGCTTCCCTGGGACAGCTGCTCACACAGGGGCTCCAACCCAGGCACTATTTCCAGTTCAGCATCAAACTCTCTCCTTATGAGGCAGCTGGAGCCGATTATGACACTATTTTGGAAGCTAATCTTATCTGAGGTAATCAGCTCATTTCCTTCGCTAGATGCAAAACAGACTGATGAGGACAGTGCTGAGAAAATGAGTCTCAATTTCCAGCTCATCTTTCACTCACACTCCCTGCCTCTACCTCCTACAATCCTTTTTTCCCTACACCAGTGGCTACAACAAGAAGGAATAAATTAATAAATAAGCAATTTTTATTTCAAACAAGGCCTAAATTCTATTATTACTTTAATTTCATGCAGAGGATCTGCATAGGCAAGTTTCCTGCATAGAACTCACAAGTTGTTATAACAGCAGGAATATTCCTAGAGACCAAGAGTGCTAATCTGTGTGGCACAGCTTTGGGAATTCTCCTGGAATGTGCTGTAGCTCAGCAGGAGATTCTCCTTTAAGCAGCCCCAGCCAGAGCTCCCGGTAACCAGGAGATGCAGACAACAAACCACATCACAGGGCCTGCTGCTCCCTTCCTCACCCATCCCTTATCTAATTAAATTCCTGAGAGATTTTTCAAAGATTTAAAATTATTATTGAGGCTCCTCAGAGTGCTCTGATCCCATTTTCATCCACTACAAATTACAGTTTCTGACCAAAGACATGGAATGGGGCCAGACCAGGTAATTCAGCAGTTCTGGCTGAGGGGAGAAGCATTTACATCACTCACTACTTACATTGAGATTCCAGTGGCAAAAGAACATTCCCACAGGGAATAAACTGGGCTCAGACTTGAATATACAGACAAGAGGCACCACTGTGCCCACGGTATGGAAAAGGAATCACAGAATGGTTTGGGTTGGAAAGGACTTTAAAGATGATCCTGTTCCACCCCTTGCCATGGGCAGGGACAGCTTCCACCAGCCCGGGCTGCTCCAAGCCCCATCCAACCCTGAACAATTCCAGGGATGTGGCAGCCACAGCTTCTCCGGATAACCTGGATAACCTAATTCCTCACACGGAATAAGAACAAAACCCAATCTGCTGAGGTAAAGCACCGGCGTGCTCTGGGGAAACGAGCACAGTTTGCCATGGGTGCTCTGACACACGCGTCGGCAAAGTTTGAATTAAAGAACAGCCGCTGTTCAAAGTAGTGCCGGCATCGAGAAGAGTTCAGAGCCAGCCTGTGGCTAAGTGATTAATTAAACACGCACACGGATCCGGATGAGCTGCACTGCTCAGAACCTGTCTTTAGGAAACTGAAGAGCAAACAAACTCTCGAATCTCCAGGCAGGGAGCTGAAGATCTCTGTTTGAAACGTGGGTTAAACCCTTCCCTGCTGAGAGGGGAGGCACACTCAAGTCTCGCTATTGAACCTCTCTGAGGACGTTTAAGCCCTGCTTAAAGCCCGGCTTTAGGGGGGCTCGGGCGGTGCCGAGTGCGGACACACGGGCGGTTAAACGGCGCCGACAGCGGCACCGACCCCGCTCCTACCTCCAGCCCCTTAACCCGCCCCGACCACCGCTCCTTCCTCCTGCACTGACCCCTTCAGCCCGCCCCGCTCCCGGTCCCGACCCCTTTAATCCGCCCTGGTCCCTTTAACCAGCACCGACCCCGTGTTCTTCCACCCGCTCCGATCCCCGGAGCCACCTCAGCCAACGGCCGGTCCCACACGCCCGCCCGCCCGCTTACAGCCCCGGAGCGGCCCATCGGAGCCCACCGCCGCCTCAGCCCCCTCTCAGCCGATCCCCCTCCGCCTGACCGCCGTGCCCCGCAGCCGCCCGCCGCTCACCTGAAGAAAGGATCGTCCTCGAAGCACCTCCTGAGCCCCCCGAACATGGCGGCGGCCGCTGCGCTCTGCGCGACCCCCGCCCCGCGCGACCCCTCCACACCGCGCCTCGCCCCGCCCCTCCTGCGCACGTGACGTTCCACGGCCGCTCCCATTGGCCGGAGCGCCGTGAGGGGCGGAGTCTCCCTCGAGGGGCGGGGCTTCACGTGAGGGGCGGGGCTTCCTCGGAGGGGCGGGACTCCGCGCGCCGCCGTTACCGCGGTGACCGCGGGGCCGCCGCTCCAGAGGGTTCCCGGGATCGGGAATTGGGAAAATTCCCGGGAATCGGGAAAATTCTCGGAAATCGGATAAATTCCCGGAAATTCGGGAAAGGCGGAAAATGCGAGAATTGCGGGAATCGCGGCCTCGCTCTGCCACGGGGTGCGCCCCGCTCCTGGGGAGTGTGAGGCGGGGACAGGCCCGGCTCCGGCGATTTTAGAAATAATTCTGATTTTTCCAGTAGATGGCAGTAAAATAAAGCTGCGGCCTCTTCCCGGCGCCTGGAAACCGGCGGGACGGAAAGCATCAGGAGGCTGGAGCGAGGTATCCATGAGCTTTTCCAGGGAAACAGCCGTGAGGAGGATGGATGCCGTGAGGGATGGAGCGAGGCCAGGGATGCTCCAGGATCAGCGTTCCAGGGCACATCCCCTTCCCAAGGCTCTGGGACTGTTCATTATCGCTTCCCTGCCCTGCTCGGAAACTTGTAACTTCCCAGCTGAACGGGGAAAAAGTTTCAGCAGGAAGAAGCAAATAAAGGGAAAACCCCCCAGCAGACCTCTGGAATAGTCACAGGGAGGTTTAAGTAAAAAAATGGATTTGGGAGATCTTTCCCAGCCTTAAACGTAGAAGATTTTGAGATGAAGTTCCAGCCTTAAATATAGATTTTAAGATGAAGCTCCAGGAGCAGGAGAATTTGCAGAATTTTGTGTTTGATACAGGAATTATCTTAGAGAAAATCCACCTGGCTGGTTTGTGACAAGTGAGCATTCCAGCCTGGAACGGCCCTAAAACCAACCAGAGCATCTCTCTTAATCAGAATATTGACAAGTAATTAATAAATGGCCACTGTAAATGATTTAATGACTATGCTAAAGACGCTGCTTGTGCCGTTTTTAGTGTGAATAAACTTTACCTTCAGAGCAGTTTTAAATAGTTCTAAAATCTTGGAATAACTGCGGCACAGAGGTTGAGATTATAAAATATTTTTAATATTCTGTGTGTGGCTTGAAACAAAGCTGAATTCTGTGTGTGAGCAATAAACCCCATCCCAACTGGCCTGAGATTTGGCTGTGAAAAGCCCAGAAGAGGCAGAGCTGCTGTTTTATTTGCTGCTCTCTCATCCCCAGAGGTGACCTGGGCAGTCCTGGGGTCACCCTTTCCCTGGCAGCATTCCCTGCCCACCATCACTCCCCAGAAACATTCCAGCCTGGAGTGAATCCCAAAGCCCTGGCTGGGATCTGGGGGAATTCCAGCAGCTGGCAGCAGGATCAGTGCTCGCCTGGTACTGAGATGTGCAGAGATGTTGTCATTCCTCTTGGATGTCTCCTCTCCGCTTTGGACCAGATCCCTGGGGCGTGATGGATCCTGATGGAACAAGGATCTCCTCTCATGGAAACACTCCAGGCTTTTCTAATCCCACCTGGTTATCCCAGCATGTTTTCCATGGGGAATGTAAGGAGGGACAGGACACAGGGGATGAAATCCCACTGCCAGAGGGCAGGGCTGGATGGAATATTGGGAAGGAATTGTTCCCTGGGAGGGGCTGGGATGGAATTCCCAGAGAAGCTGTGGATCCCTGGATCCCTGGCAGTGCCCAAGGCCAGGCTGGAATGGGGCTTGGAGCAGCCTGGGACAGTGGGAGGTGTCCCTGCCCATCCAGGTGGATCTTTAAGGTCTCTCCCAACCCAAACCATTCCATGATTCCCTGAACTCAGCCCTGTAAAAAGAAATTATTTCTGACCCTGGGCAGGGGATGTGGAACTTTCCCACAGCTGTTCCCAGCACTAATCACCCACACTTCCCTGGTCCCAGGGATGAAACTCCTCTCCAGCCAGAGCAGCTCCAGCTCTGGATCCTGTGCAGGATCCCAGGGATCAGGGCTGCAGTGGGTGTTCCTTTCCCACTTTCCTGGATCCTGTGCAGGATCCCAGGGATCAGGGCTGCAGTGGGTGTTCCTTTCCCACTTTCCTGGATCCTGTGCAGGATCCCAGGGATCAGGGCTGCAGTGGGTGTTCCTTTCCCACTTTCCTGGATCCTGTGCAGGATCCCAGGGATCAGGGCTGCAGTGGGTGTTCCTTTTGCAGCTGTTGGAAAGAGCTCATTATGGGATGCTCGGTGCCAGGGATGCAGGGCTGTGTTTGCACAGGGATCTCTTTAATTGCTCAGCCCTTCTCCAGGTCTGGGGCTGCTGCAGCTCCAGCTCCTTTGTGCAGATTAAAAGAGTTCTGTAAGGAACCTCTCGTGCTGCAGCTCTGTCAGCCTGGAGGGCACCTCCAATGAGATTAATGATGTCTGCCTTAATAGAAGAAAACTTTGCATAAATGAGATTATGGTTTCTGCTGAAACCTGCCAACTCTTATTCATTTGCAGTAAATATTATCTTTAATTAAAAGTTTTAAGGTAGCTTGTTCCTGAGCTAATGAGATCTACAGTGATTTCCCTTAGGAATTAATTTACCTTCTTAATTCTCATTCATTTTGGTGATAGGACTATTTAAATCTGCTCCAGACTCCAGAGCTTTGTTGAGCACATTCAGCCAGAACAAAAGGTCATTTTGCCATATTGATGTTTTGTTGGTATTTGTAATTCCCTTGTTCTCTCTCCATTCCAAAGATCCCTGTTTAGGTGCCTGCCCCAAACATTTCCTTCCAACCCTTGAGTTCCTCTTAACACTGAGAGGTTTTTTTTTTTTCCACAGCCATTTCCCTTTGGATTTGTGTTTTCTGTTCCCTCCAGAGTAAAACTCGATTCTGATTGTCATCAACCTTTTCTATAAAATACACTCAAATCTGTGGGAAACACTTGGTGCAGCTGCTGACCAACACAGGAATATTTCTGCTTTTCTGGGAAATCATCCTCTCTGATTCCTCTCCAAGGATTATTCAGAAGCAGCAGGGATGCTTTAACACTTGGAGGTGAAAATTGAATTCCTGCACATGTGTTTGAGTGGGAGAAGTGCCAAACTGGAGACCTGGAGCCAGAGCCCTTCCTGAGGCTGGGCACAATGCTGCTGCCCAGGCTGAAATCAATTATCCAGCAGAAATAAATGACAAGGTTCCCTTCTTTGAAACAGAAATACAGATGGAAATGAAACAGCAAATTTCAAAATACCTGGTTTGTACACACATAGAAGAAGCCAAGAGGAAAGAAAGAATGAATGTTCCTTTGCTCAGCAGCAGCAGATTTTTCTGTTGCAATCCAGTCAGAATCCCCTGAGTCTCCTCTGAAGATGCTGGGTCTGACAAAGTTTAAAAGTTGGGTAATTAATTACCCTAACGAGGGAAATGGGGAAATCAGAACAAGTGTTGACCAGAGGTGGTTTTATTCTGATGAAATATAAAATACCTGTTCAGGACTAAGCTGTCAGCCTTACCTGGATAAGTTGAATCCTCTTTTATACAAGATGCAAACCAGGGAAAGACAATTCCTCTCTGTAGGAAAAAAATTCAATTTCTTTTACTGTTATTCTGATTTTTTTCCATTTCCCACCCAACAACTTGTGACAGAAAACCTCCCCCTGTCCTCTCTTTGTGTGTAATTAGGAAATATCCCTAAAAACAGCTCTTGTGTGTCTGCAGCTGATAAAAGGAGTCACTTAGAGGCTGCAGGAGGAACTCCTGACTGCAGCAACTCCTAACCCTGAACTTGCAGCACCAAAAAAGGGGAAGAAACACATTTTGGGGCCTGGGCTGGGCTATAAATAGAGCTGTCACCAACTCGTGCAGGCTGCTGATGACCTTCCTTTTATAGCTCACTGCAGCCCAGCTTCCTCCAGCCCTCACAAATCAGAGATTATTAATTAAGGATGAGCTAATAAATAACGCTGGCAGGGCAGCAAACGTCCTGTGAGAGCAGGAGGGATGCTCGGGTGTGTCAGGGGTGTTCTGGCACTTCTGTGTCCACAACATCTCAGCAAAGTGGGAAAATTGGATTTTTTTGTGTCTGTTCCTTTGAAGAAGCTGAAAATTGGTGCCAAACAGCAATGTAAAGCACCAATGTGAGCACAAAATCCCAGGAACTGTGGGGATTGCCAGGCCGGATTAGCTGGGATGTGTCCTTGGTGTTTTCTGTAGGATTTAGCCAGGCTGGTGTTTGGTGAGGAAATGCCAGATGTGACACAGCCAGCCCAGGGCCTGGGCACCACTGGCATCCCAACTCATTCCCAAAACAGCCAGGATAAGCTTTTGGGCTTTTAAAAAAGTCCTGGGATGTTGCTTTTCAAATCATCTCTACAGCAATGATCCATTGGAGAATTCCTGAGGTTTGGGCTTTAATTTAATTTGCCATCATGTGAGCCCTGATTTTTGTGACCTTTATCTTCTCCCCTTGGTTTTGTTCAGCAGAGTAAAACCTGAGGCACAAAAAGATTCTATCAAAACACCATGACCAAGAGCTGGCTCCAGTGGGAGCTCCAGCACTGATTCCAGGATTTGATCCAAACTAAAATTTGTTTAAATGGGCTCTGCTGCCATCGTGGGCAGCAGCTGGAAAAGCTTTGGAAGCACAGGGAGCACAGGGAATTCTGATCCAGAGCTGCAGCTCTCTCTGTTTGCCATTCCCAAGACACCAAAAAATACCTGTTGAAGGTGCTTGAACATCTTCTGTGGGATGACAGAGTTAGCCCTTAAATCCTGGCAACTTCTCTGTGGTGCTGGAAGGGAGGGAAAAAATTCCTGCTCCGGCTCCAGCAGTGGGTGAGGAGAGGGAAAACTTGGATTTTGGTGCTTTTTCAGCAGCACATCCCAGCAACACGTGTGGGAAGTCACTGATTCCTCTGCAAAGCTGGAGAGACACCAGGAGCAGAAATCCTGGGATTTTGGGTGGCATTTTGGAGGTTTTCCCAGGGAAAATTGGTCTCAGGTTAATGGTGAAGGTCATCCAAACTGAGCCCAGCCTTGGCCACAGCCTCAAGCTGGAAAATCAGACAAAAATACAGAATAGATAAAAAATCCAACCTGGGCAGCAGGAGCTGCTTGATTTATTTAGGGCTTCCAGGAGCCCTTTTCCATAGGGATCCAAATCCAAGTTTTCCTGTGACTGGCACCAGGTGAAGGCACTTCCAGTCCCTGTTTAGAACCCATGCCCAGCTCAGGCCACGCTGGGTTTGTTCCAAAGGCTCTCCTGCCTCAGGCAGCTAAAAATGCCTCCTGCTACTCCAGCAGATCTCATTAATTCCATGTTCCAATTAGTCCTGGACAAACTGAGTGTACTCAGTGCACAAGTTATCACAACATCGAGTTACCAGCTCAGGTTCTGGCTGATTTCACAGAGAGGATGAGGATTAATTGTCAGTTCTCATCAGCCAGGAGAGGTTTCACTGCTCACTTGAGAAAAAACCCAGCTTTTATTACACAATTACTTCTTAATTACATTCCTTGCAGCCTCAAACTTCCAAACAGTTAGTTCTGCTTACCCAGCTAGTGAGAAACAGCAGACTTAGTAAAAATAGGAGTTTTCCAACTATTTTGGGAAAAATGGGAGCACCTGGGGACCCTGCTCCATTCTCTGCCCAGCAATGTCAGGAGCAAGGTTGAAGGAAACCTGAGAGGGCTCAATCAGGGCTCCATCCCCAGCAGCTCTGGAGGGATCAGCAGTTCCTATTTCCATTTCCCATGGATTGGCAGAAATGAGGCATCCTCCCTCCTTCCAGGTGGGCTCAGAGCTGCTCTGCAATTCCCAGAGGTTTAGGTGTATTTTAGGTGTATTTTCAGTGGGAGAGGCCTTTGTCTTGTGCAGTTCCAGAGCTGATTTCAGCTGAGGAGTCTCCCCAGCCCCCTCCAGCCCTGGGTTCAGTCCCAGGCTCCAGCTGATCCCTCCTCACCAAGGTTTCTGGAGTTCAAGGATCCCCACTAAAAATAACTCCCTCCTTGTAACCTGACAAATGGAAAAGTGTCATCATCCAGAGGGCTGGGTTTGGGTTACTGCTGGAGAGAGGCCTTGGGATCAGCCAGTGCTGCTCTCCTGGAGTGACTGCAGCAGCAGGAGCAACACTGGATCTGCTGGCCACCAGTGTTTTCTTTGGCAGCATCACTTGAGCAGCAAAACCTTCCTAAAATACTGTACCAATAATAACAATAATCACTTAAAAACCAACCCCAGCTCCTTTCCAGGCAGTTGTCCCACCCCAAACACTGCTGTGCCCATTCCCCCTGCTTGGATGGGAAGGGAGGGCGGCTGCTCTGCAGGCTCAGGGAATGAGTTTGCTGCTGGAATTCCTGGGGGAGAGGCCTCTGCTGGCTCCCAGGAGTCAGGAAAGCTCCAGTTCCAGCTTTATCTTCTCACTCCTGCTCTCCACAGCTCAGTTTGGCATTGGCAGGGACTGTGTGCATCACAGAGTCCTGAGTGGAAAAGCCTCAGCACTGCAGAGCACAGCCAAAATCCTGAGTTTTACAGGGAAAACCGACACACAGCTGCTTCCTTCCCCTTCCTCTTCAGGAATCTGCTCCCTCTCACCAGGGGCAAAGTGCAAAATACAAAAAAAAAAGATGAATTTTCTGTAGGAAAGAGTCCTAAATTTGACAACACTCAAACTGAATATCACAGGAACTAAAAACCAGGATTGTTGTCACAGGTTAAGACGTAGGAGATTGAGACAAGAGAATTATTGGAACAGGAGTGTGGGTTGGAGCCAGCAGCACATTTTCCCAGGCTGGTGGTGATGATCTGGACAACTGATGGGGTTTCTGGCCAGGTGATGATACAAATTCATCTGGACATGGCTGATGAGCTCCACATCCTCCCTTCTCCTCAGGGAAAAAGCTGCACCCCTGGAATGGTGGAGGACACGTTTCCTTGGACACAATCCCTTTCTGAAGTGTCCAAGGGCAAAACAATTCCAGCAGGAACTTGCAAACCCACCTGGGTCACACACAGCAAAGCTGATTGCTGCTGCCTCCTCCCCTGTCCCATTCCTGCTATTCCAATGCCTGCCTTTGGCAGGAAAATGAGTCATTGATCCCAGGATGCTGCTCAAGGAAAAGAAAAATTCCCACTGGAATCTGCTGCCAAATCTTCACCCCAGCCCCTCCAAGAGCTCTGTGTCCCTCACACGTCCAACTCCCCTGGAAAAGGCACCTGGAATTGCTGAGGTTCAGTGTCCTGGGAGCTCCCACTGAGCACAGACACCTCTGGAAGTGTCCCCTGCAGGGCTGGCACGAGCTCTGGGGCTCTGGGATCCAGGAGAACACTGAATTTCATACAACATGAAATTTATGGGCATGTTTTCATGGTGTTACATGAAAACAACTGTTAAATAGAAAAGCTAAAAGTGTGAGTGTGTAAATTAGAAAGTTTTCTTAAGTCACTGGGTGAAAAAGTTTAAAGTTTAAACTGGTTTAGAAAATAAAAGACAAGAGAGAATTCTGTTTTAGGGTGTTGTCTCTTTTCCTTCATATTCTTCTTCTAGAGGTTTTTGAGTAGGTGATTGGATATAAAATACCACAGTGCAGCACACAGGTAATGAATCATTGAGTTATTAAGGAAAATAATATACGTGTCTATTGTTAATTAAATAAAAAATAAATATAAAAATAAAAAGAACTGCACAGTTCAGAGCCATTTTGTGCCATCAGAGCCAAAATGTGCCAAGCTATAATGAATTAACCTTGTGCAGAAAGTCTGGAAAGATGTGCCAAGTTTTGTGATAACATCCTAATAAACACCAGAAACAAGATCCCAACAAGCTTTAGATTCTTCCTGACCTGGAGAACTGAGATTAATGGAACTTCCTGTGAAGGAATATTCCAAATATTCCAAAAGAGCTCAGCTCAAAGGAGACTGAGAAATCCAAATTCAAGAAGTGCAACAATAAAACACTGAAAAAGTTACATTCCACAGCCCTGAATGTTCCAGGGAGGGGCTGGGGAGGGTGGCAGGATAAGAAACCAGAAAAATCCCTTTTCAATGAAGCACCTGAGGCAATATCCAAGTTATTATTCCATGAAAAGTGCAGAATCCTGAGGAATTCATGGATATTCTGATCACTGAGCTGCAAGTGGAATTATAAAAATCAACTTTATCCTGATTTGCTCTGTGTTTCCAGTGCTGTTTGGAATATTTCAGTACATTTTCCATTCAGCTGGGATTATCTAAATGTTATTTCCATTTTCTTCCCAGCTCTTGCCCCCAACTCTCCTCCAGCAAATTTAGATGTCAATTAATAAACAATAAATAATAAATAAACAAACTCTACCTGATATCTATTTACAGCCTATTGTAAAATTTTCTAATATTCTACAGGGCTGCAAATAAAAGGAGTCATTTTACATCCAATAAAAGCACCTAAAATTATCCAACAAAATGTGTGAGAAGAGGAATTTACACCTGGACCTTCCACGGACATCAAACAGTTTTTATTTTCTATGAAAGAAACATAAAAGGTGATTAGAAAACACAGCAATGACAAATATTTACAATTTGAAAATGCTAAAATGAAACAAAGGTGACAAATTTTTTCCCACTTTTTCCTGCAGAAAAGGTCTTGGAATATCTTGATGCAGGATAAAGTCAAACTAACACTTCATACAGGAAGTAAAAATGTGTCAGAATGTAAATTCAATACATTTTCCTTTTACATCTGGGATCTAAAATAAAAAATAAGACAACCAAAGTCCATTTCCAGAGTCAGCCTCCATTTTTTTATCACCACAGATCTGAGAACCAGGAGAAATAATCCCAAAAAAAGCAGCTTCCCAAGGGAATGCTGATGCTGGGAGGGGCCAGCGAGGCACATCCAGAGGTGGGGCTGGGTTTTCTCCTCTCCTGATGTGAGTTTCCCCCCAGCTTTGCTGAAGAAATACTTTAACATTTTATTTATTTGATTTGGTTGATCTCCTGCACTTAGCTGGACGTTGGGCAGATTCTTGTGGGAGTTTATCCAGGCTAAATTCAGATGTTCAGATTAAACTTTGATTATTTGCAAAGTCCCACCTGACCAAAGGGAACTCCAAGGGCTGGGAACAGTCACTGCCAGAACCAGGTGTGAGAGAATTCCCTAATTTGGTAATTATAGAAATGATGAGGTTGATAAAATTCCCCATTTGGAGCTGCAGTAGGAGCAGATGCTCCAGGACACGTGGAGAGTTTTTCCACCCAGACTGAGGAACTGAGAGTGAACAATCCACGGAGAGGATTCCCTCAGCAGGAGCCTGCCCAGATATTCAGGATTCCTCAGAAGGAAGGAGGAGGGGACACCAGTGATGGATCCTGGATCCTCTCCAGCCTCAGGACATGGAGTGGCCTGGGATGGCACCACCCATCCCTGAGCCTCAGTTTCCCACTGATCTCCCAACTCTTACCTGGTTTATACAATTCTTTGGATTGGGAGGGATAAAATGATGTTTCATGGGCTGCCAGGTGTTCTTCACCTGAGGAATTCCCTCCAAAGAAAAGGGAAATGCCCCTGGCTGTGCTGCCCTGCTCATCTCCAGCACTGAGCTTGGAGAGAACCAGGGCAGGACATTCCTGGTTATCCAGAACAGAACATTCCTGGTTATCCAGAACAGAACATTCCTGGTTATCCAGGACAGAACATTCCTGGTTATCCAGGACAGAACATTCCTGGTTATCCAGGTGGAGCAGGACAGGACAGTCCTGGTTATCCAGGGGAACCAGAACAGAACATTCCTGGTTATCCAGAACAGAACATTCCTGGTTATCCAGGTGAAACACTCCCAGCCTGCACAGCTCATCCAGATCTCCTCTAAGGGACAAAAGGAACAGCTGAGTGTAGGAATTCCGTGTGGGAACTGGCCTGGGATGGTCCTGGGAGCTGTCAGGCCACGGGGCTCCCCATCAGCCGCTCCTGGCGCAGAGCAACCAACCTCTGGAACCACTTCTCCTCAGCCTCTGCCTTCTCGATGAACAACTGGGAGAAAAGTTGGCACAATCAGCAATTCCACCTTTGTGATCAGCTCTGGGAACAGCCACGACCGTCTCGGTGCCCACAGGAAGAGCTCAGCAGGGTTAAAGACAAAGCTGACCCAAAACCATCAATAAAAGCAGAGAATTTCAGGGAATCCTAAAATAGTTTGGCTTGGGAGGGGTCTTAAAGATGGAAATCATTGGAAAGGCAAGGCTCCAATGCAATTCTTCACTGGAGAGTTGATCTCTTATCTGTGTCCATTCTACAGAGCTCACACTGATTTCTTCACTGCAAGTCATTTGTAACTTGCTCATTCTTAAAAAACCTCCATGAAGTCCTTTTATTTCCCTCTAAAGCTCTCCCAAAGGGATTTGCTCAAGTTTAGCACAGTAATTTAAAATTATCTTAAGTCTGTGCCATGTTTAAAACTTTGCAAGTTGGCAAAATGGGAAAGCTCTGAGTTTCCCACCAGGTTTCCAACTACAGAAACCAGTTTGTCCTGAATTTTTATTTATCTTAAATTCCCCAGTTTTCCATTAATTATCTATTCTATTCTATTCTATTCTATTCTATTCTATTCTATTCTATTCTATTCTATTCTATTCTATTCTATTCCATTCCACTCCATTCCATTAATATATTATATATAATAATATACTTTATATGTAATATATAATAATATATTTATATATATAAGACATGTTATATATAAATAGAAATAAAATATTTATATTATGTTATATTATATTATATTGTATTGTATTGTATTATATTCACTCACATTTGGATGTGCTAAGGAATTGTCATCCTGGTATTTGATGGCAGTGGGAATGTTGGCAGCTGGAGGCTCTTTCTCAGGAGCTGCTGCCTCAGTGGCTCCTGCTCCCACATTCACAGGCTCCTGCTGGACTTCAGCAGGTTCTGTTGACTGAAAAAGAAACAAAAACACCAAATTGGAGTGGTTCAACCCAAAATTGCCAAATGTGGCAGTATTTTAAGGCAGCACTTGGCTGTCTTCACTTTCCTCATGGAAAGATTTCTCGGCATCCTCAGCAGGACACACTGGACGTGGACAAAGGACATGAAGTGACCAAAAAAAGGTACAGGGAGAGAGCTTGGAAAACTGGGATTTTCCTGAAGAAGCTGCTTCAGCTTCTTGGAGACTTCTGGAAAGGCAAAAAATTACAAATTCCTGGGGAAACAATCAGGGATAATTCCTATTGCCCACTGCCAGGTGGGAAAATGAACACAAACACATCCCAAACCAGTTCCCTGCAACCTCTGGTGGCCAAAATTCAGGTAAATTCTGGGATCTGGATGTCTCCTGTTGGTTTTCTGGGAAGTTGACTGAAAACCAAGCTGCTCTTTCCAGGGAATAAATACAGATTTAAAGCCTGGCTTTAGTTAAGCAGCATTAAAATCATCTCCACTTGAATTACAAAGGAAACGTCTGATTACTTTGGGATTTTAATTCTTCTGCTTCTCCTAAAAAAAAGTCTTCAAAGTAGGTGATTTCCTTAAATTCTGCCACATTTCAATTCCCTGAACCCACCCTGAGACCATCAGGGAGTCCTTGGTGGGATTTCAGGTGGATTTCTTTCAACATTGGTGCTCTTTCATCGATGGAAAATCCTTAATAGTGCAGCTTCCTCCTGGCTCTGAGAGGATAATGCAGCAGGATAGGGATTGGAAATGTCCCTTTTGGAAGGGAAATGTCCCTTTTGGAAGGAATATGTACCTTTTTGACTTCTTTGCTTGACCTGAAGGTCTGTGGGACGAAGGCATCGCTCTCGATGGCTTCGATTTCCTTCGCTCGCTTCGCTTGGTCGAGGAGGGTGGCTTGGTCTGCACAGGGAAGGTTGGATTTATGGGATTTATGGGATTTATGGGATTTAGGGGATTTATGGGATCCTGGGATCCAGGCCCTGCCCCAGCCATGCCTGCAGGAGATTTTGGGACACACCAGGAAAAAGTGCTCGTGTAATGCAGCCCAAAATCTTCTGTCACAAGGGAGAGCTCTGAGTAAAAACAACACCAGGGAGGCCATTGCTGGGAACATTCCCAATGCTGACCTAAGGATTTGTGGGATAACTGGGAAAAAGAAGCTCCAGGGAGAGCTCAGAGCCCCCTCCAGGGCCTGAAGGGGCTCCAGGAGAGCTGGAGAGGGACTGGGGACAAGGGATGGAGGGACAGGAGTCAGGGAATGGCTCCCAGTGCCAGAGGGCAGGGATGGATGGGATCTTGGGCAGGAATTGTTCCCTGGGATGGAATTCCCAGAGCAGCTGTGGCTGTCCCTCCATCCCTGGCATTGTCCAAGGCCAGGCTGGACAGGGCTTGGAGCAGCCAGGGACAGTGGGAGATGTCCCTGCCCTGTCCCTGCCCGGAATTTAAGATCCTTCCAACCCAAACCATCCCATAATCCATAATTCTGCACTACAGCAAAGCCCATGGACACAACTTCAGGCCTGATTTTTGGGGGGGATTTGGAAGGAAAAATAGAGTTTGCTGCATTTAAACTTGTGTTTGCAAGTCCTGCTGCCTTGGTGCTGAAACCTTCTCCTTTAAAACAGATCCCAAAGGATTTTTGGGATAAATCAAATACTCAATGCCTGCTGGAGTGAGGGAATCAGAATTCCCCGAGGTTCTGGATACACCTGATCCGAGGGGAAATTAAGGATCTCGATTAAAACCAGGGGTAGAAAGGCAGGAAAAGGAGATTTCAAATCCACAGCTCAAGTCCAGTTTCACAAATTCCCAGGATCCCAGGCGGATCCTGCACAAACTGATGGGAATGACAAATTAGGGAAGGGGCAGGAATCACTAAATGATGACATCAGTGACATTAACGGGGAAAATGGACTGGAGGAAGCAGAGCCCATTAGCGCAGGGCAGTTTTGACAAACACATTATGGGGAGATAAAACGACTTCCAGCTGTTGTTTGTCAGCTGTCAGGGCCATGGATAATATGTATTTCATAGGAAAATCAAAAATAATGGAGTCAGAAAGCTCCGAGGCTTCAGACAAAAAGAAATCAATACTAACTCAGTGCGTGGTGAGTCTTTTTACCCTGTTAGTGTGGAAAAAAGGGAGTAAATCTTGGATTAGGGCTGGTTTTTAATAAAAAGGTGATTCCAGCAGCAGGAACAATTTCCAGTCCTGTCACCTTGGCAGGGGGGAGCTCTCCCAGTTTAACTGGGAATATCAGCATCCTTCAGGGATAATTCAGTATTTTACAATTTGCTATTTACGTCTATTGCTGTCCTCCCATATATAATTATTCACACACATATAAAATATATACATATAAAAATTAAATATATATATATTTATATGTATATAAATTATATATAATTTATATACATATAAAATAAAAAATATAATGATATATAATATTTACATAAATATATAATTATATATAATATTTACATAAACATCTAATTATATATAAAATTATATAGATAATTTAAATGTATAAATTATATATATGTATATAAATATATATATATATAAAATTTACAGCTGTAAATACCTATGGAATTAGGCTGGATCAGCAATAACCTGGAATGTTGCTTGAGAACTAAAATATGGTGGAATTCTTTCGATGCCACCCCAAAATACTACACAATAATTAAAAACAGCAGACTCAGATAAAAGTAAAAGAAACAGAGAATTCTAAGATTCTACAAATCAGGTGAAAACTTCCCTGTGAGCTCTGCTTAAAATATTCCCATTTTTTCCTTAAGGACAAAATTTATTCCACTAAGAGTTTTAAAATCACTGAAGTAAAAGCATTAAATGGCCAACAATATCTTGTGAACAATCCATTAAACAAAACCATGTTTTAAATATTTCTTGAATAATCTTTGAGTGTAAATTTTTATGGATTCATTGCTTATCCATAATCCTGACCATGAACATGAACTTAAAGAGATTTTTTCAAGCAGGTCTAACTCCAGAAATCAAAGCAATGAATATAAACCTCAAATATTCCTCAGAATCTGTTTCTTCCTATTTTACTAATTCGATTTAAGGGGTTAATTTAATTTAAAAATATAACACATTTTCCACAAAAAGCTTTGAAATACAGAAAAAAAAAGCTGCTATTTTTTCTTGCTCTTTTGAGTTGAGGATTAAAAGAAGGAAACACCCCCAGATCCCAGACTAAACAAACAGCTACAGCAGAAAATATTTCCCCTTTGATCCCATTTTATTTGGGGTTATTGGAAGTGATATTTTTATCCAGCTGCCTTACAGAGCTGGGTGTTTTCCGACAGAACTGGCTTTTCACACATCCCATGGTTTTTAATTGATCCCAGTTTTACTCAAGCTGCACAAAGTGACAAAGTAAAGAAAAATGAAGTTTTCCTTGGGTAATTTGCAGTGGATGACACAAAAAACTCCCTGGCTGTGGGAGATCCTGGATTCTGCAGCATGCAGAAGGGAAGCACTGGGAAAAGGAGGAAAAATCCAGCAGGACAGGCTGGACTCGCTGTGGCTGTGTCACCTCCAGAATTCTCAGGGAATTTTCCTGCCTCAAATCCTTCCCGTTTGCATCAGGAGAGGATCAGTCCTGACTCTGATCCCGAGGTATCCCAGAGTCCTGATACCCTTCCCAGCCCCAGTGCTGGGGTTCCAAGGCCAGTGGGAGCTGGCTGAAGTTCCTCTCTGGAGATTCCCCCTGGAGATTCCCCCTGGAGCCTCAGCAGCCTCTCCAGAGCTGAGACTTCCCAACAATTCCCCAATTCCAGCCGGAGCAAAATCCAGAGGGAATCGGCCCAGAAATGTCCCATTCCCACAAGCTCTGAACTCAGCATTCCCAGCACTCCGAGTCCCTCCTGCTCCTGCCCAGCCTGGAGCGGGGCTATCCCGGGATATTTCCTGGGATATTCCCTGGGATATTCCCTGGGATATACCCCGGGATATTCCCTGGGATATTTCCTGGGATATTCCCCGGGATATTCCCCGGGATATTCCCTGGGATATTCCCCGGGATATTCCCCGGGATATTCCCTGGGATATTTCCCGGGATATTCCCTGGGATATTCCCCGGGATATTCCCCGGGATATTCCCTGGGATATTTCCCGGGATATTCCCTGGGATATTTCCCGGGATATTCCCCGGGATATTCCCTGGGATATTTCCCGGGATATTCCCTGGGATATTCCCCGGGATCTCCTGCAGCTGATCCCCGTTTCCCGGCCGGGCTCCGCTGCCGTTAGAGGGAGGCACCGCCTCACTCAACAGCGCCGGAGCCGCGGATGCCGAGCCCGAGGATGCTCCGAGCAGAGCATCCCTACAGGATCCATCCCTACAGGATCCATCCCTGTGGGATCAACCCCTGCAGGATCCATCCCTAGAGGATCCATCCCTGTGGGATCGATCCCTGCAGGATCCATCCCTGGGGGATCCATCCCTGGGGGATCCATCCCTGGGGGATCCATCCCTGGGAGACCCATCCCTGCAGGATCGACCCCTGCAGGATCCATCCCTGCGGGATCCATCCCGGATTTCAGGACCCATCCCGGATTTCAGGACCCATCCCGGACTTCAGGACCCATCCCGGACTTCAGGACCAGCTTCCATCCCCCTCATCCCTCCCTCAGCTCATCCAGGATAGGGTTTCCCATTCCCATCCCTAAGCTTGGGCAGAGCCCCGCTCCCACCCTCAGCCACACTCCTTCCCAGCTGTTGGGATTTCCAGGGAAGGAACTTTTCCCAGCCCAAGTCACAGGAACAAGAAACACTCCCAAAAACAGAAACTGGGCAGAGAAAGCTTTGCCCGTTCATTTCTCTGCTCCCAACTTCATTGCAAGCACTTGAAAAATACAACTGAACGTATCAAAGTAGCAATTTGGGAGCACTCCAGTATTTATCTACTACTGGGAGCACACAGGATTTACAAATTGAGTTGGAAAAATGCAAATTAACAAGAAAAACTTTGTCCAGGCTTGTTTTAAAATCCCGTGAAAGTCAGCTTATTAAAATATATTAAAAATAGCATTTTGTGAGCACTGTGGTACTTACTGGAGAGAATACTAGAGAGTACTACAGAGAGTACCAGACTACTTTAAATTTGCTATTTTAATACTTTATAGTGACAACAACCTCATTTTTATAGGATTTTAAACCAAGCCTGGACACTAACAGCTTTTCATTTAAAAACCTGGGAGCGTTATGTCTAAAATACAGCAGCAAACAGGAAGGAAAAGTTCAACAAGTCAGCTCTGAATTTAAGAACCTTAAATTTAAGAAAATGTAATTTAAGAAGACTGAATTCAAGAACTTTGAATTAAATAAAGTGAAATTTCTGCTGGAGCTCCCCAATTCCTGAGTGCAGGTCGCCTTCACCGCTGCCCTGCTCACTCCTGCGCCCCCATTTTGGGGCTTTTTGGGGTATTTTTGGGAACACTGTGGGCAGGAGCCCCTCTGAGGCAGCGGAGGGGTGGGGACAGCAGAGTGAATTTTGTTAATTTTGTGAATTTTGCTGGATTTGTGGCCACCCCGCGTTTGTCACCGCGCCGACACCGGAGCCGCCGCGCTCCTTCCTGGGCACACAAAGCCAGGGCTGTAATTCAATGCTCAATTTACCCTTGTCTCAGTGGAGATTTCTCCCCGCTAATTGATAGAAATTAAGCCATTAATCAAGGCACCAGCCATCATTCAACCCGGGGAAGATGAATCCAAACTTTCATCATAACCACCTTCCCCATTTTAGTGTTCATTAGCATTAATTTTTAATGCAATTATGCTCTTCTTTTACGCTGAGCTCATAAATTACTGCTCTTTTGTTGCTCGCTGGCCTTGTAAAATCCAAGGTAATGCTTTGTGCTCTGATCTTAAAGG